AAGAAGGTCCTCGAGGGCCCCGAATCGCCGAAGTATTGGTCCTAGTCGCGATAGCCTCCAGACGGCTCAGGAGGTTTCCAAAACGCTCCAAGAGGCCTCCAAGAGCATTCTCAAGAGGGCTCAAAAGAGGAAAAATCAAAGATTTCCTTTAGGTTTTTGAAATATTTCGGCATTTTCGTCTTGTCAGCTTCCCGACGCTCCAAGACAGGCCAAGAGGCCCCCAAGACCGCCCCAAGATGGCCCAAGAGGCCTCCAAGAGGGCCCCAAAACGACCCAAGAAGGGCCCCAAGACCGCCCAAGAGGCTTCCAAGACAGCCGAAGAGACCCCCAAGACGGCTCCAAGAGTGAGCCCAGACGGGGGCCTGAACGGATACTTCGAGCCCTCGGCCAGAGAAGCTCCCAGGAAGCCCCCACACGCCCCTAGAAGCTCCAAGAGGCCCCCAGGATACCCCCAGGAAGCCCGAAGAGGCCCCCACGAGGCCCCAAGAGCGGTCCCCCCATACCCTCCCCCTCGAGGCCCCCAAAAACTAACCTCCAAGAGCGCTCGTCGGTCCCGTCGTCTTCGGCCCTTTCACGGTCCCGTCGGTGCACCGGGGGGGGGCCCGTAAAGGCATTCGCAATCATGTGCGAAACCGGAAAAATAAACACAGGGAAGGACGGCTCCATGCGTATGTGGAGGCAGAAACAGTGGGAGCAAAGGATGCAAGAGAGAGAGAGGCGGGACGTTCTTGTTGTTTTTTTTTTCCTTAGTTTTCGTGAGGTCCTGGCACTACTCCCCCCCGGTACATGCAAAAAACTCGTTGCGACAATATTTTTGAAAATATGACGCCTGAATTTTGGCCAACGGATCGTTGTGTTGGGAGAGGTTGGTGTATCCTGTAATCGTGCCTTCCCAGCTCACTCCCGAAAGAGAGGGGGAAAACGGCCGTCAATATTTTTGAAAACATTGACGCCTGATTTTGGCCACCGAATCGGTTTCGGAAGAAGTTGGTTTATCCTGTAATCGTGCCTTCCCCGCTCACTCCCAAAAGAAAGGGGGGGGAAACGGCCGTCGATATTTTTGAAAATCTTGACAGCCTGATTTTTGGCCACCGCAATCCGGGTTTGGAAGAGGTTTTTGGTTTATCCTGTAATGCACATTCCCCAGCTCACTCTGCCCAAACAGAGGGGGGGGAACACGGCCGTCAATATTTTTGAAAATATTGACGCCTGATTTTCGCCACCGAATCGGGTTTGGAAGAGGTTGGTTTATCCTGTAATCGTGCCTTCCCAGATCACTCCCAAAAGAGAGGGGAAAAACGGCCGTCAATATTTTTGAAAATATTGACGCCTGATTTTGGCCACCGAATCGGGTTTGGAAGAGGTTGGTTTATCCTGTAATCGCGCCTTCCCAGCTCACTCCCAAAAGAGAGGGGAAAACGGCCGTCAATATTTTTGAAAATATTGACGCCTGATTTTGGCCACCGAATCGGGTTTGGAAGAGGTTGGTTTATCCTGTAATCGTGCCTTCCCAGCTCACTCCCAAAAGAGAGGGGAAAAACAGCCGTCAATATTTTTGATAATATAGACGCCTGATTTTGGCCACCGAATGGGGTTTGGAAGAGGTTGGTTTATCCTGTAATCGTGCCTTCCCCGCTCACTCCCAAAAGAGAGGGGGAAAACGGCCGTCAGTATTTTTGAAAATATTGACGCCTGATTTTGGCCACCGAATCGGGTTTGGAAGAGGTTGGTTTATCCTGTAATCGTGCCTTCCCCGCTCACTCCCAAAAGAGAGGGGGGGGGGAAACGGCCGTCGATATTTTTGAAAATCTTGACGGCTGATTTTGGCCAGCGAATCGGGTCTGGAAGAGGGGGGCAAGAAGAGTTCGCGGACGAGGAGAAATCGAGACGAGGATGCCGAGGAGCATGGTAGGAGGGGTATTCGCAGGAGATAAGTGCAAGGAAGAGGCGGCAGACGAGCGGCGGGAGCGAGGGGAGGAAGAGGAGACGACCGTAGCGGAAGGGGGGAAGATGAGGAGGAGGAGGAGGAGGAGGAGGAGAGGGGGGGGGGGGGAGGGGGGGACGAGGGGGGGGGGGCGAGGAGGAGGAGGAGGAGGATAAGGAAAAACAAGAGGAGGACCCAGCGTGCTAGCTCCCGCGCGTGCCTGCTCGTCCCCTTCCTCCTCCCCTCCCTTTCACCCCTCCTTTCCTGCCCCCCTCTCCCCCTCCCTCCTCCCCCTCCCCCCTTAACCTCCTCGCCCTGCTCTTCCTGCTGTTGTGCCTCGTTCGGGCCGGGCGAAAAGGGGGGGATAGCAAAGGGGGGGGTTTGAGACTCAGCTCACGTAGCTGATTCTCCCGGCGCCTCCCGGCGCCAGGAGGCGCCCATGCATCGAGGAATGGGCCCCTCGGTGGGGCCGAAACCGGCTGCATGCAGCAGATTTCGCACCCCCCCCTTTCCCAATCCCCCCCTTTCGTCTGGCCCGACTCGTCCTGCCGGCAGCCCCGCCCGCCCGCGTCGCGAGCGCGCGCGCGCGCGGGCGGCGCGGGTCGGGTGATGGTCTACCACACCACGAGGCGAGCCTCCCGCGCGGGGCGGGGCGGGTCGGGAGCGGGGGAGACTAGGGGAGAGGGGGAGGAGGGAGGGGGGGAGGGGAAGGAAAGAAGAGGACGAGGAGTGAGGGCAAGTGCGAGGGAGGAAGAGGGGAGGGGAGGCCGGGGTCAGGAGGCAGGAAGGGGAAGCAGTGAGGCAGGATGGCAGGCAGAACGAGAAGGATGAGGAGGAGCAGCAAAAGGCAAAGCCACAGCCCAAGAGAGAATGAACGATCTAGGCCAAAAGTGAGCGTCAATATTTTCCCCAATCAGAGCTTGCCTCTGTAGGGATCCTAGCGGATCCATATGGTTAGGTTAGGTTTGCCGCCGATTTTCGCTGCGCGCCCGGGTGCCCGGGTGCCCGGGCGTGCCCGAGGGTGCCCGGGTGCCCGCTCGGTAGCCCTACAGCCCTATAACCTTAGAGCTTTATAGCTCTATAGCTTTATAGCCCTATCGCCCTATCGCTCTGTAGCCCCAATAGCTTTATAACCCTATGGCCCTAATAACTCCATAGCATTATACCCTTATAACCCCATAGCCCTATAGCCCTATAGCCCTCTAGCTCTTTAGCCATCTAGCCCTATAGCTTTTTAGCCCTATAGCCTTTTAGCCCCATAGCCCTATATCATTAAACAGATTATGAATGGGCTTTTGTCTGGTATCATTTTATAGTTTTGACGCTTGGCTTTGTCTGGGCTCTGATTGGGGAAAATATTGACGCACACTTTTGGCCTAGATCGTTCCTTCTCTCTTGGGCTGTGGCTTTGCCTTTTGCTGCTCCTCCTCATCCTTCTCGTTCTGCCTGCCATCCTGCCTCACTGCTTCCCCTTCCTGCCTCCTGACCCCGGCCTCCCCTCCCCTCTTCCTCCCTCGCACTTGCCCTCACTCCTCGTCCTCTTCTTTCCTTCCCCTCCCCCCCTCCCTCCTCCCCCGCTCCCCTAGTCTCCCCCGCTCCCGACCCGCCCCGCCCCGCGCGGGAGGCTCGCCT